AGGCATCAGCAGACATTTTTTTTTTTTTTTTACTATTTTCATGGCTGTAACAAAATACCTGATAAAATTATTTAAGGATGGAGGAGTTCAGTTTGTTTCATGGTTCAAGAGGACACAGTCCATCATAGAGGGGGGGAGGGGGGCATGGCAACAGGATCCTGAGGCATCTGCTCACATGGCATCCACAGTCAGGAAGCAGAGAGAGATGAACTCTGGTGCTCCACCCAGGACTCCAACTGGTGAGATGGTTCTTCCCACTAATTAACTTATTCTAACAGCTCCCTCAGGAGCACGCCTCAAAGTTTATCTCATGTTAATTCTTGATCCTTCCAAGCTGACAGTCAGTCCTACGCATCACAGTGCACAGTGCTGGCTGTGGCTGCTTCTTATCCATGGAGTGAATGTAAGGCTTCATCACCTCTGAGATGTACCGCCAGTTCATTTGCACAAGTGCAAAGTTTAGGCAAATTCTAAATTTCTCAGGAAGGACTTTTTTCTCTTCAACACATCTGTTTCTGGAAGCCCAAATGGGTCTCCTTAGGGATGAATGAATCCTATAGGGACTGAGAATTACTTTGGGGAACCAGTCACTGGAACAAGGATGCAACTATCACATGGATTTCATCTCACCCAGAACTACTGCTTCTGGAGTCTCCCTCTGAGCATCCTGGCATAGACAGTGTTTGAGAAATACTGAGGATTGTGTCAGGCATCAATTTAAAATCCTGCCTAAACTCCCAAATACTGGAACTACTTAGACAGCCTCTACCTCCTGCTGGTCAAGCTGCTAGGATCTGAAAGCCATCCTGGGAGACTAAGCTTTCCTGCTTGAAACTGAGGACTGTGTCAGGTGCAAGTAGAAATCTGACAGCAATCTGATTTGCTCAGTGTTGCATGAATGGCAGTGCCCCAGAATCCCAAAAAGTACTGGGACCAGTGGTTACTCATGCACTGTGGAATGCTGAGTTTGCAAATGGTACTAGGCTTGCCCCTGTTGCCTTAGAAACCTACTCTCTGATGTCCTGATACCTCCAAGTGTAACAACCACTGGGTCACACTTAGGTCAGCCCTGTATGTGAAGTGGGAGCGTAGTGTTCTAGCATCCATCTGCTTTGGTCTTGGTTTTGGCTACTATGCTGAGAATTGAACCCAGAGCTTTACACATGCCTTGCAGATACTTTTCTGGCTACATCCCTAGCCCAACTCCTCTTATTTTAGAGGTAATTTATGTAGACAAATTATATAATAACAAATATCCCAGTCTTTAAATACCACATTATCTATTTAGTGCATGTCAGTAAACATGGGTCTTGGACTGAGCCGGGCATGGTAGTACACACCTATAATTAAAGCACTTGGGAAGCTGAAGGAGAGGACCACCATGTTCAGGCAAGCACGGGCTACATAGGGAGTCCCCATCCCCAAAACCAAATAAAAGAAAATTGATGTGTACCATGAGCCATACTCTACAAGTGGCTTAATGACAATCGGCTATTACCAAATAATTGTATGTTGTGAATATCTCCCTATATTCTACATATACTTCGACATCACCATTGCATTGGATGACCTGTATACTACCACATGGACACAGCATAACTATACTCTGCATGTCCATCATTAGCAGGCAAAAACATCACACTGGTATACCATAGATTACCCAAACCTAGCAGCTGAAGGCAGCCAGCATGTGTTGTCTTGTAGTTTGTATGGGTTATAGTGCCAGCAGACCTCTGATGGCTTTCTGACTCAGGGGTCTTGCGAAGCCACCGGTATTGGCTGGGACATTAGTCAGCGAAAACCTTGAGTAAATGCATCTGCTTCCAAGCCCACCCATGTGGCTATTGCGGGGCTTTGGCTAGGGATGTCACTTCCTTCTCATATGGTCATCTCTCTGTATGTCCACAGTAAGTAGGAGGCTTCCTCCAGAATGTGGATCCCAGGAGATAATAAAGGCACAATCCTTTCATGCTCTGGACTTGTAAATGGCATCCCACGATTTTTGCCATATTCTGTTTAATAGAAGTTAGTTATGAAGCACTGGGAAGATAGTGACAATGTTAAAGTGATTGCAGTGAATGCACAGGGACCTAAACTGAATCCTTAGTCCTGTATCAAAAGACCCAGCATGGTGACCCAGGTCTATAATGTCAGCACTGGAGAGGTGGAGGCAGCCACATCCCTGGGGTTTACAGCTTGCTTAGTCTAATCAGCAAGCCCTGGGTTCTAGGAAAGGGCCCTGCCTTTTAAAAACAAAGTAGACAACCCTTGAAGAATGGCACATGCACATGTGTGTGTGAATACACATGAATACACTTGTACACAAGAGTTAGGTTGAGTGAGCCTCAAGAAGAAAGAAAGAGTACATAAGACCTGACGGATCTAGCAACAGATCCTAGCTGAGATGCTACCAGCAGTTAATGACTGGTAAGAAAAGAGGGAATCATTTTTCTCCAACTGTGTAGCCACTGTTAAGTTGCCTATAACCCAGCAAATAACCCCATACCCATATACATGCAAGCAACCCTAATTAAACTCAGTAGGTTAAAAATGAGAGATGGGGGTGAAGGTGGAAAGGTGGGGTCCAGAGGAAATGGGAAGGAGAAAGAAGGAAAATTTGGGGGTGGTAAATATGTTAAAAATATATACCTGTATAAAAAAATAAACTGAGCTTGAGAGCACACCTTTAATCCCAATGGTGGGGAGCCAGAGACAGGTAGATATGGAAGTCAATGATCAGCCAGCCTAGCCAAACCAGTGAGCTGCACAAGCAGGGAGAGAACCTGTCTCAAAAAAAAAGGGTGGAAGGGCTTGAGAGATGGCTCAGTGGGTTAAGTCACCTGCTACCAACCCTGAGGACCTGAGTTTGATCCCCAGGACCTCCATGGTAGAAGGAGAGAGCCAGTTCTCATAGGTTGCCTCTGACTTCCACATGGGTAGATACACACACAATAAATAAAATGTAAAAACTAAAATATAAGAATGAAGAGAGATGGAAAAAAGACAGCAGAGGCTGTCCTCTAGCCTCTACCATGAATTGAATGCATAACACACACACACACACACACACACACACACACACACAGAGAGAGAGAGAGAGAGAGAGAGAGAGAGAGAGAGAGAGAGTTGGAAAGGAAAATTAAAGAATGGAATATTCAGGATCAAGGGCCAAGACTAAAACTCATACCTTCCCAAAATGGTGACCAATCAGAGAGAATAAATCCCAGCCATTATGGGACATGTCAGAGGTCATAACCAACCACCAGCCAAGCGTTTTAAGACCTCTTCCTTTTATGAGGTAAACATTTGGCTCTTGTTAGCTCACCTATTTTTAAGAATGGTGAAAAAAAAAAAGAATGTTGAAAAAAAATCTCTGTTCAACCCAAAACACTGACTTTGATTACAACCTAGGCTGGTTAGGATACAGTACAGTGATGGAGTTCTTTCCTAGAAAGGACCAAAGGCCCTGGATTCCATCCACAGAAGTGTCATAAACAAGAATGTTAAGACCTCTGCAGTAGGGGTCCAGGCATACACAGGTGAGTTGTGACTTCTCAGATCCATTACTTCCTATGCAGTGTGGGCCCCTTGATGTGGAAGCACCGCTAACCTTAACAGTGTGGAAAGGCAGATTCTCTATGCTTAGAAAACTATGACAACTCAAATGCTTGTTGGCTTTAGTGACTTTAGCAGCAGGGAGCTCAGAAGGTTTCTGAGTGATCCCAGCAAAACCCTGACAGTACCACCAGGCCTAAGGACAGGCCAGTGCCTCGGGACTCCTTCAGGCAGCCCTGCTGCATGGCCTTCAAGAATTGTGTGTGTGTGTGTGTGTGTGTGTGTGTGTGTGTGTGTGTGTGTGTGTACAGGCCAGAGGTCAACTCTCAGCTGTCATTCTTCAGGCACCATCCACCTTATTGGTTCTGTTTTTGAGCCTGGAGTTAACCAAGTTGCTATGCTGGTTCCTGTCTCCATGTTCCCAGCACCGGGATTGAGGTGCATGCCACCACCACAGTCAGGTTTCATGTAGGTTCTCAGGTCCTTGAGTTTGCCAGGCGCATACTTTACCAGCTGAGCTATCCCCACAGCATGCTATTCAAGCATTTCTTAGTTACTTTCCATTTTGATAACAACCCATCAAGTGCCAGGAGAAGCAGTGGCATTGACACAAGCCATGGTCTTCCCAGCACTCCTCAAACATACTAGTAAAATAGCACATTCACCAGGAATCAAGGGACTCTTGCTCTTGTGTGTGATTAAGTACCATGTGCATGGGTGTCACAGCAAAAGCGTGGTGCTGTTGACCTGCACTCAGGTGGCCAGCACAGTGACATCAGTCAGGATGCAAGCAGATGGGTGAAAAGCCATTTCAAGCCTTGAAATATGCACAGGCAACTATGACACCTTTCTCCTTTCCACTTCCCACCTCCAGGGTACTTGTGCCTCAGTTTTCTCTCACTGCAGCTGTTTACTGAGCTGAATCCTCTTGTCACTTTCTCCCCTGCCCCCACCTCATGATAGGAAAGAGATATGTTTCTGTTCAGCTTGGCTTGCTCCATCTCTAGCTAATTAAACATGATTTAAAACATTTTACCCCACACCCTTAGTCATTTGGGTCTTTAAAGTTCCTCGCCACCTGGTTCTTATTGCCAATTCACCATCTACAAATCCCCAGCTGGAAACATCACACACCTTGTTCCAGCACTGGGCTTCCCTTTTATCCTTTAATTGGAATTTACCTTCAAAACTCCTCCCCGGCATCTTGAAATTTATCACCAGCCTTAGCCATAATTCAGCCCCTCTCATGTTATTTCTTTCTCCCTTCAGAAAGTCAAATGAAGACCCGTTAATGAGCCCCTCTTCCTATTCAGTGAATTTTGTTTCTTAGAAAGATCTGTTTTAGAAGCTAACACTCACCCCAAATACAGTCTAATTTGTGACAACAACCAGCTAATGTGTGTGGAATGAAGCTATCGATACAGAAAACAACCACAACTCTCATCTTAAAGTGAATAAGAGATAGTTTATTCTGGAACCATTTTGAGTGACTACGGCCTAGCAGCACAGGTTTAGGTTACCCCAAATTCCATGTTCTAACATGGAAGCAGTTTCATGAAGTCTTCCGGTTTTACAGAACAAAGAAAGTCAAGACAAATTTAAAATACATTGGTGAGTACATCAGGAACACTGCTGCAGCAAGGCTGGGAGAGTGCTTTTCCATGGGTCCAACATGCTATCTGATGGCATTCTTCTTAGCTTTGGGGTTGGTGAATGCTAGTAGTCTGCTAAGTTGATAGATTTTGAAAAGTTTCATCTGTTAGTCATGGAATGCTGCTTCTGACACAGAGATGACCAAGGAATGGCTACTTGGGAGGTGCTAAAACTAGCCAAGGATCAGGTAATTAGCCTCTGGACTTGCAACACTCCAGCCCCTCCATGTGACTGGGTTTTCATTAGTCTTCGCAGACCCAGCTTCTTTCCAATAACTTTCATTCACAAAGTAAAATAGAGTCCACCTTCATTCAACCTTAGAGTCCATCCCTGTAAAAGGAAAGGAAACCAGCATCACGTGAACTGGGATTCTGCTTTAGCAGATAACCTCATGCTTGATTTCAACTGTGCCGTATGCTTTCTCTCCAAACTAGAAATGAAAAGTAGAAATGGTGGTGGTTGTACAACTCTGAAGGGAACAGCATCTAGAAACAAAGCAATAACTGACTATTGAACTCCCTTCTGAAGAAAACTGGCCGTGAACACAGCATTCTGTGGTCAGAAGAAAGTACACATGACTGTGCCAGGGAAGCCACCTCAGAGACCACCAGGAACTGCCCCTGACAGTCCCTAGGCAGTGACTTGCTAGAGCATCAATGACCAGGACACAGTGCAGGTAGAACAAGGAAGGACTTGATGGTCAGGTTATTCTCCTGAGCTTCCCAGCTGCCCCTGTCTTAGTCACTGTCCAGGAGGCAGCTCTAGCACTTAGAGGTAAACAAACACAGGCAGGACCTGTGTATGAGCCTGTCTATCCATTCTAGGAAACTCCTGCACATGGGAAATGAGTGCTCAGAACAACCACTTTTCTGGACCTGAGGTACACCCTCATACCTTAGATCTCATTGGCAGTCTGACTGTCTCACCTTGAGTAAGCCACAGACTGGTGGTCTTTGGCCATCAGAAACAGTTTCCCTTTATTAATTCTGTGAATTCTGATGGGAAACAGAGTGCTGAAAAATGTGGAAATCACAAAAAGATGTCCATACATATTCTGAGCAGAGGAGAGTGAGTCCTGGAGTAGTGGGGGAAAGTTCAGATTCTCAGGTGGTCATCAGCCCTAGCACTGCCCCAGACAGGGAGGCTTCACCATCTCAACGCATCACTAGGTCTGTTACAAGCTCACCAGCCCAGAGCCTCCTCATGTCAGGATGGTTAAGCACATCACTGCTCTTCTGAAATATGTCACCAGCTCATTCCATTTTTTTTCTTTCATATGACCTATTTTTTCTGGGGTTGGAGTGGGGGTAGGTAGGCAAGGGTTCAAAGCTGGTCTCAAACTTCCTGTGCAGCCTAGATGATCTTGGGTATCTGAGCCTACTCCCTCTGATTCTTCAGTGCTGGAACTCCAAGTAGGCACCACCATGTCTGATTTATGCAGTTCTGGGGACTGAACCCAGGGCTTTGTGCATGGAAGGCATACACACTACCAGTGGAAACATGCCCCCTGGCCTATATAAAACTATACCAAATAGATCATGATGGCACACTGGTAAATATTAAATTATAATAAAAACCAAACACAGGTGTTAATGAGGATCAAACAAGAAAATATATGTGGATGTTTCTGTAGAATCGTAACACACAGGGTTAACCATCACAATTTATTCTAGTCAGTTCTGTTGCCAGGCAGCATTTAAAGATTTCTCACTCTCATCATCTTGCTAGCTTCCCTGTGAGGAAGGAATCCTGGCTTCTTCCCGTGCTGGGTAGGTGTACAGGATTTTACAAAAGGCAGCAACAGCCCAGTGGTAAATATCTAATCCATCATGGGTGTGACTGTGAGACCCCACATCCCACAATTGTGAGCATATATCACAGCACCTTCTCCCTGTCTTGCATGAAAAGAAGTCCAAATGTGTTGCCTCCAGTGAAGCCAGATTCCCTACGCTGTCGGCAAGCTCTGTAGAATTTGGCTTGACTAGGACTGTCTGTGAAATGCTCTGTGAGCCCATCCTTTCACACACATTCATCCACTAACAGGAATGAAGAAGTAGATCCTGCAAATTGATTGTTAAACCTACCATAGCATTTGTGTGCGTGTGTGTGTGTGTGTGTGTGTGTGTGTGTGTGTGTGTGTGTGTGTGTGTGCGCGCACAGGTGCTCATGAACATTTATGCAAGCACACATGGAAGCCACAGGGCAAATTCAGTTGCCATTCCTCAGTACTAGCCACTTTTTGTTTTTTTGAGACAACATCTCTTACTGGCCTAGAGCTCAACTATAAGCTATTCTGGATGGCCAGGGAGCCCCAGACATCCTCTTGCTGCTGTGTCCTACACTATTCCAGGGATGAACCTGAGTGGGGCAAGGAGGAAATGAAGAGTAGACAAACACACAGACACAACAGAAAAGCTGGGATCAAGTCAACTGGGCCCTGGAAACTCCTCGTGTTTATTCTATGCAATTGATCAGGGAAGCCGAGTTATTGCACTCAGTTGAACAAGGAGGTGGGGTTATTACACACAGATAAACAAAGAGGCGGCGTTTATGGTATACAGGAGACAGATTAAGCTAATCTTGGTAGGGACCGGTCTCCACAGGAAAGCAGTCTTCAGACTGTAAATACTGGGGGAGGAGCTATGGCGGATGCTTTCTGCACACACTATGGATACCCACACACGGACCAGAGAAGATTTTGCAGTCCCTTCGAGCCTCACTCCAAAGGGTTAGGGTTAGGCTTTGTCATTTTCCCATGGATCTGAGGCTCTGTGGCCCTTGTCATGTCTGTGCTCATGTCAACTCCACACATTCACTCAGGACTTCACGCTCCGGATTTTCTTCACCCCTCACCATATCTTGCCTCTGCCTTCATCCCCTAATGCTGGGATTATAAACACATGCCACCATACTTGACTTTAAAGAGTACATTGTGTGGGAATGGAGAGTGGCTCAGTGGTTAAGAGCACTTACTGCTCTAATAGAAGATCAGCGTTTGGTTACTAGCACTTATATAGTGGTTCACAAGCATTTGTAATTCCAGGTTTAGAGGATCTGATGTTTCTACTGACCAAGATCTTTGGCACCATCAGGTACATATACACAGATACAGGCAAAACACTCATATGCATAAAAGTAAATAATCTTTAGAAATATTTTAAGTCAGTGTGTGAAGGGTATCTTGTGTATGTACACATCCATGGACACATATGCGGACTCCAAAGGAAGATGGCAAGCGTTATTCTCCTATAGTTTTTCATCTTATTCTTCTGAGATAGAATCTCTCAATGAACGGGAAGCTCTTTGGTTTCGCTAGGCTGGCCGACCAATGAGTTCCCAGGATCCACCTATACTAGCCCCCTAAAGCTGAGATTCCAATCATGCCCTACTTTACTTGGGTGCTGGGGATTTGAACTCTGGTCCTCATTCTTATGCAACAAACACTCTTACCCACTATTGTATTTTGCTTTTTGATTGATTCAATAAACACCATAACCAAAGTCAACTTGGGCAGCAAAGTTTCATACAGCCTATGGTCCATGCAGAGGAACTCAAGGCAGGAACTGAAACAGAATCTATGGAGAGAGAAATTATGCTTACTGGCTTACTCTCCATGGCTTGCTCAGCTTGCTTACTTACACATCCTAGGACCACCAGCCAAGGTATGGCATCATCCAGGGTGTGCTGGCCCCACCCACAGCAATTGTTAATCAAGAAAATTTCACAGGCTTGCCCACAGGCCAATCTGGTGAAAGCATGCTCCTCAATTAAGTTCCCTCTTCCCAGATGACACTATCTTGTGTCAAAGTTGACAAAAAACTAAATAGCACATCCACCCTGCCATCTCCCCAGCCCCTCGATGGCTTTTTATTAGTTGGGTTCTAGAGATCAAGTTCAGTTCCTCTGCAAGCATTGTGCCCATTTAGTCTTTTCCCTGCCCCCACAGTTGCATTTAACTGTAAAGGAGAGTGCCCAGAGAAAGTAGCTGGAGGGTAAGAGTTTCCTCCACCCTCTGCCTTTGTTTGTGGTCCAAACTGGTCTGTTCCATTCAATATTGTCCCCATTCTACTTTACTGATGCCTTTTTGTGCAAACTTTTCAATTCTCCTATTTCTTACACTACCACTCCTTGATGGTTTAACTATATATGCCTAATGTCTTGAGCTAACTAATGACATGGGTCTTGTAAAAATAAAACCAGGAACTGAGAATGAGTCATAGCTGAGGGCTATCTCCTGCCAACCTGAATGTTCCCCATTAAGCAGCCACACAAAGACACCCCAATCAGATAGTTTAATGTACTGCTTTAACACTCTTCCTAATCACCTACTTAATAAGGAATAATGCTTATTAGATTACCCCTTAATGAGTTTCAAAATGGGTGAGCAAATAGTAAGCGGTGAATGGGAAATCTGAGGAAAAGCAGCAATGAAGCAGAAGATGCATTCTGCTCTGCTTTATCCATTATGCTATGTGTTGTACATAATCATACATTGTGTTTAACATGGAAGACTCTGTTCACATGGCATATGTAGCATGTGTATGACATAGAATCATGCTATAGAATTATATATTATATGTTATGTTATAGAATAAGGATATTATATGTGAGGTTTGTGTGGTATTCATGCATCTTTCTTTTTCATTCTCATGAGTTGTTATGAGTATATATATATATATATATATATATATATATATATATATTTACATGTGTGTAGGTGTACATGTATGCATGTGGTGTCTTACAAGGTTAATGTCGGGAATCATCCTTAATTTCTCCTCCATTTTGTTCATTGAGTCAGGGTCTCTGAATAAAAGGTGCTTGCCAATGACTGGTCTTTCCAGGCAGACTGCTCTAGGGACCTCCTGCCTCTGCCTTCCAAAGCTGGTGCTACAGGTGGATAGTTATACCCAACCAACAAGTACGTGGGTCCCAGGGATCCAAACTTTGGTCCTCATGCTTTCCTGGCAAGAGCTTAGCACCCACGTTCAAGCCAAAAGTGTAAAACCCCAGCATGGAGATTCCATTGATGTCTACTGCTTGGTTACACCATGAATCCAGGTGTAAGCATTTCATGGGGCATCTCTGTTGATTTGACTGAAACGCCCCTGCACCATTAAGGTGGGAACATTTCAATCCAAGTCATTTCTTCACTCTGGTTGCCATTATTTGAGAATTGATTTAATTTTGCAGAGGAAAATATTCAAATGTAGGAATTACATCTTCTCCTTCAGGGCAGCCTGCTTGGTGTTGTTCTAGAGGAGGAGGTGTATAAGTGTGTATACACATTTGGTGGGGAGTATGCACATCACAGAGGCCAGGGGAAGGTG